TGTGTGTGTGTGTGTGTGTGTGTGTGTGTGTGTGTGTGAGGGTCCTCTCGAGCTGGAGTGTGTCTGTCATGTGTATCACAGTACCCTTCTACCCTCAGTCACTGAGGAACGTACAGGGGTCTCCTGCATGATCCCTCCCACCCTACCCCCAGTCTTAATAGGTGACCCAGGGGACCAGTCCCCAGAAGCATCCATCTGTGCCTGCCATTGGCTGATGGGGGCCTACCCAGAGTCCAGGGGCAAAGGTATCCCTCAGGAGAGACGGGGAGCACTGACCTCCCTCGGGGATGTCAGCCGCAGCCTGCCTTGCCCTCTGCCTGTGCTCTGAGGGCCCAGCCCGGCTCTGGAGGGTGAGACAGAATTATGGGCCCAGGCAGAGGCACAGGGTTGCACCCACCCCAGACTGAGGCTCCGTCTTTCGTCACTGCCCCCACAGGGGGAGCTCCCACTCAGCGCCATCCACATCAACCTGGAGGAGAAGGAGAAGCGGATCCGCTCTTTCCTCATCGAAGGTGGGTGGAGGCCTGGGCTGGGAGGGAGAGCGTGGGCCTCCCGGGTGCCCCAGCTCTTCAGTGGGGCCTTGCAGGGGGCTTCTGTTGCCAGGCCCCCTCACAGCGTCTGTGTGCTAGGCCGTCTCATCAACACCATTCGCGTGCTGTGTGCCAGCTACGAGGACTACAGCCACTGGCTGCTCTGCCTGCAGACGGTCTCCCACGGGGACGGAGCTCCCCCACCGCCCGGCCCTGAGAGCTTCCCAGGGCTGCGGGTGTCCACACAGGTGAGGGGCCAGCAAGGACAGACGCTGCACCCACCTCTCAGGTTCTGGGCAGAAGGGTGGGTGGGGAGGGAGAGGGGTCCTGCTGTCTGTCTCACCTCCCCTCTGCCTGCCCCCTGGTGTCCAGGTCCTGGGTGGTGGCCGAGGCTCACTCTCCTCAGATGGACGAACCAGCTGGGGCTCAGGGTGCCCAGCACCCCCGTCCACGCACACCAGCCACTCTCTCCCTGAATCCTCAGTGCCGTCCACCACAGGCTGCCCCGCCCAGCCTGTGCCTGTGAGCATCTGGGAGTGGGGAGGGATAGGCAGAAGAAGGGGGCAGGGAGTCACGAGGACAGTTTGTGTTGGGGAACCTGGACCCCCATGGCACCCCGTTTCAAGCAGGACCCTAGCTCCCCAGGGGAGGAGACTCAGACTGAAGGGAACTTTGTGCAGCCTCATGGGGTTGAGTGGGTCAGGGCCCTAGGGAACCTTCTGAAAGGTCTTTGGTCCCCACAGGACCAGGCCAACCCTGGCGGCACCGGCACCAGCAGGCAGAGGGCAGAGCCGAGACGGAGCAGCAGCAGTCGGTCACCCAGGAACAAGGCCCGGGCTGAGGGGCCCGGCCTGGCCACCTCGTTGTTTTTGGACCTGACCAAGGTGAGCCCAGCACGCTGACCCAGTTCTCCATCCCACCCTTCATCTCCCTGGCCTCCATTTCTCAGGCCCAGGTGGCCCTGGAGCCACCTAGAGGCCTTCTTGCTCAGAGAAGGGAGGACTCAGGCCACCTCCTCTTCAGGAAACCTGTCCCTCTTGCCTCTTTCCTGCAGCTGAGCAAGCACAGCCCGGAGGGCAACCCCGACGCCCGAGACCAGCCTCCAGAGGCCCCACGGTCCCCGCTCTATGCTGATCCCTACACACCACCTGCTACCTCCTACCGCAAGATCACAGATGTCCAGGGCCTGGATGAGGTCAGTTCCCTGTGGGGGACGGAAAGGGTCGGATGTGTCCACAGCCTGAGGTCCACTCAGCCATGATGAGAGGCCAAGGCATTTCGGGGACAGGGATCCCTCAGCTCTACCGAGGTTCTGGTCCAGAGCCTCAGGTCACCACCCCTTTCTTGCAGTTCCTCGGCGCGATGCAGAGCTCACTTGGACCTGAGTCCTCGAGCGCATTCCCCTTGGTCCCTGTGTCTGTGCCTGTCTCTGACCCCAGCTCTGGGCTCTCCGGTCCCCACTTGCTCTCCAAGAAGGGAGCCCTGCAGCCGCGAGCCTCTCAGCGGCACCGAGGCTCTGTCCAGGGCCAGGGTCCACCACCCCCAGACTCCCCTCAGCATGTGAGTAGCAGCACCCACCCCTGCTGGGCAAAGGGTTCTGCTAGGAGGTGGAAACAGTGTGTGGCCTCGGGGACCCTGGGGGAGCAGGACAGACGGAAACAGGGAAGATATGGCAGGTCAAGGACCGGAAGCAGCAGCAGGCTGGGGGGAGGCTGTAAGGAAGGGTAGATGCGGGAGGAAAAGGTAGGGGTGGGATCTGGCAGATTCGTGGGCTGGTCTCCAAGCGTCCTCCCCCAGGGCTCAGATCTCAGACTTGTGGTTGGGGTCCCCAGGTCTCCCCTGTGAGAGAAGTCTCACCCGACCCCCTGCTGCCTCCCTCAGGTGAGTGAAGGCCCTTGCCTCTTTCTGAGGGGAGCTCTGGGTGTTGCTTCCTGAAGGCACATGCATCTCTGTCCCCCCCACCAGGTGGCCATCCCCTCAGGAGCTATGACAACATCTGGGACAAAGCTTCATCTCCTTCCCACAAGCGCTGGCCCCGCGGAGCACCTGAGGCTGGTGGGGGGCTCATCCAGTGGATCTGATGGCCCCTGGGCCGGCTGGTTCTTGGGACTACCCGCCAGCATTAACCCGGGAGTGGGGGTCTGCAGCAGAGCTGGGTCTTTCTTTGTAGGGCCACAGGCTGACCAGCATCCAATACCTGAACGCCATCGAGGGCTGAGTCAGGGTCTGACCCCAGCAGGGTGCAGGGGTCTCCAGAACTCTGAGTTTCCCTGGGCTCTGGAGGGGCCAGGCAGAGGGCCTCATACCGAAGATAGCCTGGTGACACTGCTCAGGTCAGACACAGATCAGAGCAGGATACATGGAGGGACCAAACTTGAACCATTCCTCCAGGGAAGACACAGGGAGGCCACTTGGTGCAGGCTTTACCTGGGGGTGGGAGAACAGCGTAGGTGTGAAGGCCAGAGGGCTGAGAAAGAGTAGTGAGGGTCAGAGCACGTGAGGTCAGAGAGCACAAGGGTAGGAGGTCAGCGAAGTCTGAGACATCACAAGCAGAGGCAGGAGGGTGTTCCGGGCAAATGTGAGTGGACTGCGGCCGGCTGGGAGAAACTGACAAGAGACTAAACAAGAAAGATAAAGATTTTATTTGTGCTGCGTGTCCCCGCGTTTTCCACTCAGCAGCCAGAAGTCCCCCGTCCTGGGGACCCTGTGCACACGCCGACCCGGCACCCAGCTTGGTAGCCTCCGTTGCTTTGCCGCCACCAGCCTCCCACCCGCGTTCCTGCCCCATCTCTGGCTCCTCAAAGCCCCGGGACAACCCCAAATGTTCAGCCCCTTTACCTGACACCACCATATTCTGCCCCTGTACCTCGTCCAGGGTTCCCCACAGGAGGGGCTCCAGCCTCTGCCCTACAGACCCTCGCCCTGCTAGGGCCGCCCTCCCATAGGCCCCTGTGGGTTCCTGCTCACGGTCTCAGGAGCCCAGAAGGCCTTGGCCACACGCCCCTGGGGTTCAGGGGTCAAAGAGGCCTCAGAGGTTTTCACTACCCCAGTCCACTTGTAAAGAGGGCAGATAGTCTCTGGGACACCCCCCTCCACCTGAAGGCCACCCAGTCTCCTCGCCCTTGCCCCCTGCCCGGATTTCCAGCTGCAGCCTTGCTGCTGCACTGACACCTTCTAGTTTCCAACACTTTGTCCTGCTTCTCACCCCGGCTCACCAAATGAAACCTAGGGCACCCCGTTAAATTTGATTTCAGATAAGCCACGCGTAATTTAGTACAATCTCCAATACTGCATGTCCGAAATGCAAGTTTCACCGGACACCCTATGTTTTTATTTGCTAATCTGGCCACCTTACTAACCAGCTCCTTGCTCAGCCCGACCCACCCAGCCTTCCAGAATCTCCCTCTTTCCAGGTGTGGAGCACAGCCTTGGCCTTGGCCACTGGCTAGACCTTTGGGTGGAATCCAAGGGAGCCAGGACCGAGGACACTGGCTCCTTCCTAGATGCCATAGGACACAGGGATCAAAGGGCAAGACCTGAGGCGGCACCTCGTCCTGAGCCCCTGGGGCCACTTCTTTGTCCTGTGTCTTCCTGGACCAAGCCTGGATCCTACCAGCTGGGGCTGGGGCTGGGGCTGCGGCTGCGGCGCCCCTGCCCCACGTGCCGGCGGAAGTAGTGGATGGCGGAGATGGTACCGATATTGGCCAACAAGACTGCAAGAGAAGCACGAGAGAGCCTCCTGAGTGCCGGCTGCCTTCCGGTCTGGCCACTGTCTTCCATCCACACGGCCTGGCCCTCAAAGAGCAGGAGGAGGCCAGCGGAACTAGGGGTGGGTCGGGGAGAAATCTTTGCCTCTCCACGCACCCCTCATCCCTGCCGGCCCGGCAGCTGAGACTGGACACCAGCTGTCATCCTGGGCACCAGCCCACTCCTCCCCCAGGGCCCCCAAACCTGTTTTCCAGGCGTCTGGGGTGTGCAGATCTGATGTTCTCACAGCCCAGGTGGCAAAGGCTACGAACACCAGGCACATGTCGTTCTGGCTGAAGGTAAACGAGGTGAGAGGCTCCCGGGGCTCTCCTAGGGAAAAGAAGCATGCTCTGTGCTCCGGCTCCACCCAGGCTCGTCTGTCCCAGACACGCTGTCTGAGTCACTTCTTCCGTGTAGTACCCCGTCCCAAGACACAGGGTAGTGTGTGGCACAGTTGAGTCAAGCTGACCTCAGCAGGATTTGCCGCTGGGGTACCATTTCCTGGTTTGTAAAATATCTTGCAGGGAAATGTGAGAGAAAGTCTATTGAGTGCCCGACCCAGCAGGCAGCAAGGCCTGAGCGTGAGCTGTCCCGGTGTCTACTGTGCTAGAGGCCGGGGGCAGGGCACTGCTGTCATCTGGGCCCGGATACAGAATGACGGTCAGTGCAGAGACAAGTTCCTGAGTGGCCGTGGTGTCTGGCCTCATCCACCCCACCTGGACTGTGTCCTGGGATGGCCAGGAGCTGGTCCATCCTTCCCGGATCATCCCTAAGGCCCCCCTAAGGGCTCATGACCCGGGGTCCTAGCCTGCCCCTCCCCAGCAGCCCTCCTGGCTGAGCTCTCTGGACAGTACGTTCTCGGGACCTGGACAGCCCCGGGGCCCACGCGACACTCACCCGCTTGGCTGAACTCTCTGGACAGTACGTTCCCGGGACCTGGACAGCCCCGGGGCCCACGCGACACTCACCTGCTTGCCTGACTGCCAGGCTGAGCTGCTCTGCTGTGACTGGGCTAGGCTCTGGTGAGGTTCCAGACCCCACTCCCCAGGGGACCGACCCGGGGGGCTCTGTGGCCTGCAGCTGGAGAAGGGCAGCCAGCTCTAGCACGCCCCCCGACACGTCCTCCCCAAGGAAGTGTTCATAGGCCTCGGGGATGGAGATGGGCACGGGGTCTCCAGGCGGACAGGCTGGCACAGGCTCAGCTTGTGGGGGGTGGGCCACGGAGTGGACCCCCCAGTGCCCTGACCTCTGGGCTCGGCGGTCCTGGAAGAAGAACTCGCACGTGTCCGGCCACTGTACTCCGGCCAGCGCCTGGTCAGCTTCTGCCGCCTCCACGGCATCTTTATCCTCCTCCTCAATAGTGTCACAAAAAAAGAACTCGTAGGCCTCTGGGAGGGTCACTGCAAAGCTGCTCCTGGGCCTAGACCCCACAGAGGCAGAGGGGGGAGGGGAAGGCAGGTGTTTGAGGATCCGAGGCTGGGGGGACCGGGGCCCGACTGCCACGGCATCCCAGCCTCCAGGCCTGTCTCGGCCCCCAGCTGCTGTCCTGGGAGGCGCGGGCCGGGCTGTGGCTGGTGAGGGTGGGCCTGAGGTTTCTCCCAAACCTGGCTCCTTGGGGCTGGGCACGGCCATGGAAAATCGCACTCTCTTCTTCTTGGGTGCTTGAACAGAGCCTGGTGGGGGGGGCTCCCCCGAGTGATGTCCAGGGGCACCTGCTGAAGGCTCCCCTCTGGGTTTCTCTTGGTGTCCTCCTGGAGACACAACAGAGCTCAAGCACAGCCTGGCCATCGGGGCAGCCTCTACCTCCACCAAGTCAGGCCCAGCCCGGGGAAGGGGAGCAGGTGTAGACACACCTGCATCGGATCGGGTCTTGGAAACAAGGTGAGGCAGAGCAAGTGTAGATGAGTCCTCCTCTGGCTTAACCACTGCGCCCACCACAGGTAGGTCCACGTCCAGTCTAGACTTGGGGGCAGATGTAGACAGAGCCATGTCAGGTTGAAGCTTGGAGGCGAGTGTAGACGGAGCCACATCTGACTTAGCTTCGGAGATATCTGGGTGAGTCTCCTGGGCAGGTGTGGACGCGGTGTGTGGCTCGGCTCTGGGGGTCATTCTGAGTGGGTCTGTACCTTGCTCAATCGTAGGGACTGGTGTAGACAGACCCAAATCTGTTCCTTGCTTGGTCATCTGCGCAGGCGCTCCTGCAGACTCTGGACTCAGTCCATTCTGCCTGGTTCCTGGTGTCTGCTCTGCTGTTCCAGCCGAGAGACCCTTCCCCCTGGACCCAGCCAGACCAAGGTCCTCCTTGGGCCTGGCCTCAGCAGGCAGCAGGGAGCCCAGGTGGGTGGGAGCAGAGCCCGGAGTATTCGAGCACCGGCCCCCCTTGGCTCCGGCCGCGTGCCTCTTCTTTCGGCCAGGGCTGCGTGGCGCGGCTCCAGGAGTGCCGGGCGGCCTCTGGGGAGCAGTGGTGCAGCCGGGAGACTCGGGGCTCTGAGGAGACTCACCAGGGGTACTAGGATCAGGGTCCTGGGGGGCTGGCCCCTGCAGAAGTCTCTGCATCTCGTCTCTGGAAGACGCTGGCCCTGGGAGCGACGAGCTGTGACCTAGAGGGGCGGCGTCAGATGCGAGGGACGGCAAAGCTTCTGACCGTGCGGACGTGCCGGGCATCTGCTGATCAGCCCCCAGGGCCAAGACAGGCTCACGCCAAGACCTGCTGACCAGTGGCCGGGCAGCGGCCTTGTCCTCCTTCTTGAAACCAGGCCAGCCCCTCCCCCCAGCAGCCGGCTGCCCCTCGAGGAGGGGTGGAGGCCCAGGGGGATTGTGGCCACTGCTGTCCCCTTGGTCAATGTCACTGGACAAGAGCTCATCCGCAGAGGCCAGGCTGGCCTGCGGGAGGCCACACTCTTCAGTCGTGGCTGCAAACTCGGCCCAGTCCTGGTCACTCAGCTGGATGCTGTACTGGAAGTTTTCCATTTCAGGTCAGCAGAGGCGCTTGAGCAGCGCAGCCTGAGGCTAGGTGGGATCTTCACGGACCCAGGCCCCGGACACAGGCCAGCATACGCTGCCACCACCCTGCCCAGTCCCCGGGGTGCCCCCCACCTCCTTGGCTCGGGGGCCGGCACTCCATCTATGTCCTGCAAGAGAGCCGAAAAGGGAATCCGGAGGGAAGCTGAGCTGCTGTCAAACCCGACCTTTCCTCCGAGTTAGAGAACGCGCGGCTTCCGCTTTGCCTGCTTCCAAACTGACCCCTAATAATAACCGTGTAATGACATATGTTACATTCCGCAAATCGAATAGGGAGGCACACTAAGAAAACAGGGTTCCTTGTGTTTGAATTTTTGTCCCCAGAAGTGGTTTACGTCACATCTTTGAGCATTTTCTGTGCAGCTAGGTCAGCCTCACCTTCTCCAACTTTCCTGCAGAACGGTAGGTACCAAAGTAAACTTCATACAGCAAAACCCATTTCAAGGGTCACTCACTGGGAGTCAGTTCACGTGGGGGATGGTCAACTCTGGCCTGTCCCCACAGGCTCACGGTGGCAGCTGGCCACGGAGGAGGGGTGGCAGCGTCCAGCAAGCGACCAGCCTTTGGGGATGACCTTCCACCATCGTTGGCTGGGACAGGTTTCCGGGCTTTCCCTGAGTTCAAGGTCACTCTAGTGCTGGCCAGAGCCCACTCAGAGGTCACCAGGGAGCACCTGGCTCTGCCCCTTGCCTAGGCAGGAGGTCACAGAGCAGAAATGAGCCTCCTAACTCCCAGTGGGTTACCAGAGCCATCCTCAAGGTCTGCGCCCCTGACCCAGGACTGCCCAGCTAGCAGAGCCCCCTTGTCTGCCTCATCTCTGTGAACAAAGGCGTCCCCAACTGCCTGAGAGCCCCTAGTGTCTCAGCCTCCTACGGGAGGTGACCTTCGACCTTAGGCCAGCCACCACCACACCCTGGGAGGTGGGAGGTCACTCTGGTCAGGCCGGTGCTGAGATGAAGATTCCTTGAGACCAGAGCATTGTGGCCCCCTGACCCACTGAAATGTCCCCTCCTCTCTGGCCCTTGGGGAAGTCCCTCTGGGGCTGTCTGACTTTCAGACTTCTTGGGGTGGGAACAAGGGACTAACAGTGTCATACCTGGGACCCTGTGGCCAGCCAGGGCAGTGGAGCTGGGCGTCCGAGCTGCCTGTCCCAGGGCGGCATGGTGCTGGGCTCACCACACAGGCCCCACCCCCACTGCCAAAAATACCCCATCCCTGTGGTCACATGTCTCCTGCCAGCCGTCAAGGTCCAGGCCACAAATAGATGGCATTTGAGGGGCCTCCAGCTACGTGAGGGACACCTTCCTGGGCAGGTCAGATGCTGGCCAGAGAATGCGAACCTGCAATCAGTTCTGCACGGGCCTCCTCTTTCCCAAGCTGAAGGCCACACTGCACTCTTGGCCCGGGCTGACTTTTCCTCTTAAAGTGTCCTCACCTGCTGTGAACCCTCCCCCCTGCCAGCAGCGCCGCCCCCACCTCCCACAGCCCAGGCCTGTCTGGGTCTTAGGGTCTTGCCCTGTCGTCTGTGTGGAATAGAGAGGGTTACTGAGTGATGATAAAGGGGAAATGACCTTTCCAGAATGTTCCTAGAGATCCTTTGGAGGTGGGCCGCTGATGACTGGGTGTGGAACAGTGGAGCGAGGCGTGCACCTCTCTCCTCCGGCCTCCAGAGGGTTACTGGCCCCCTCCCAGGCAGCACTGTTGCACCTGCTGGTGGGGGCAAAGGGACAAGTGGGGCCACTGAGGGCTCTTGGCAGCCAGCATGCCGAAGGGGAATGGGCTTTGGCCTCTAGAGAGGGTTGGGAGGGTTCAGGGGAGGAAAGTGCATTACTCTGCACCAGCATCTCTCCTGACCTAGACGCCGGTGGTGGGCGCAAGGAGGAGGAGGCAAAACAGAGTCTGTTCCTTCAAGAAAGGGGGCCTGGTGCTGCCACCCCCAGCGCAACCGGTCACCAAGAGTAGGCAGGCAGGGGTAACAGTGCTTCAGAGATGGGCCTCCAGAGTGCGCCTCCTCTGCCAGGCCTCCCTGAGCACTCTTTCCAAAACTTATCCATCCTGGGAGGGGGCACAAAGAAGACCCTGTTTTCAGAGTTGAGCCTGGTGAGGCACAGAGAGGGTGAGCGACTCCTGCCTGACCACACAGCTAGCATACGGCAGAGCTAGGACCCAGCGCCCTTAGCTGCGCTCCAGGCCATCCTGATCTCGGGGCTGATAGTGCCCATCCCACACAGGTCATTGTAACACACACTTGTGGCTTCCAGGCTATCAGGGATGTGAAGGGGGAGTAAGGGAGCCAGACAGCAAACATCTAAACAGACAGGTAGATGAGATCATCTCCGACAGCAACACAATGGAAGAGGGAAGTATTGTGGAGAGAAGGGGTGCCCTGGAGGGGCTGGAGACTTCTCTGGGGAGAGGGCCTTGGACTAAAAGGGCTTTGAGAGCCTGAGGGACAGGACTCAGTGGGTGGGAGACAGAGAGGGCCAAGGCCATAAGGGTGATGGTGGAGAGGCAGCTTCACACAGAGGGAGCAAGGCCGGGGCGCTTCGATTCCCAGTAAGCCAGCCAATGTATGACATGTGCAGGAAGGGCACAAACTGTGTAGGAAAGGACCCTGCCTGTCGGTGTGTGCCACCCGGCCACCTCGTGCAGGCCAGCCTGGCCCATAGTGAACTTTACATAAGTGGAGTTGTGCCCTAAGAACCTTTCCGCGTCTGTGTAAAAAGAAAAACTAGTTTCCTACTCACACTGTTCTCCTGTGAGTCTCCTGTGCTACCCACACAACACACTTCACTTCTGTTTCTGACACCAGCTGGGTGTCCTACGGTTTAACTCAATTCTGACACCATCTACCTGGAGACAGCATGAGATCCCCAGGTGAAGGGCTCAGTCCCACAAGACTGCCCGCCCCCCTTCCGAGTTTAGTCACAGGTAGTGGGTCCCCAGGTCACCCACAACTTGTTGGCTACAAACCAGTTTCCCATGACCCTTCCCCCTTGGATTTGATTAACTTACTAGAGCAGCTCACGGAAGTCAGGGAAACATTTACTTACATTTACCGGTTTACTGTACGAGGGTATGATAAAGGGTACAGATGAACAGACGGATGAAAGAGATGTGCGGGGTGAATTATGGCCTGGGTGCCACTCCCCCCACACCTGCACATGTTCAGCAACATGGAAACTCTGTGAACCCCATACGATCGGGATTTTATGGAGGCTTCCTCACATAGGCATGATGGGTCATTAAATCCAATTCCAGCCCCTCTCTCTCCGGAAGAGGGGGTGTTGCTGGGGCTGAAATTTCCAAGCTTCTAATCATGGCTGGTCCTTCTGGTGAGTATCTCTATCCCAGAGCCCACCCGGAGTCAGCTCATTAGAACAAAAGGTGGTCCTGGTGCTCTTATCACTTAGGAATTCACAAGGGTTTCAGTAGCTCTGGGCCAGGAACTGGGAGCAGAAATGAATATGTGTATTTCTACAATCTCACATCTGCCTCCTCGGAGCCTCAACGTGATTCGGAGTCAGGCACCTCGGGGGCTGTGCTGGTCAGTTTCACCACCAACAGTGGCCTCGTCTCTGCATCACGTTTCTGTGGAAGGAGATTTGGGTTGCTTCCACTTCACAGTCGCAAACATGCCCGAATGTTTCTCTCGGAAAACCTGTGTACTTGGCTTCGGAGAGGCCAGAGGGTCGGGTCGGGGGGCGAGCTTGTTCAGCTTCAGAAGCCACTGCCCGACGGTTTCCCGAGTGGCTGTGCATCTGCTCCGACTGCAGGACACGTGCGGGTCGTCTCTGTGCTGCGCATCCTCACGGACCGCCGTCTCTGCCACTCGGCGCTCTGGTGGCTCCGTGGTCATGCCACACTGCCATTTAATCCACATTCCCTTTGGCCCCTGGCCTTTCTATTCCCTCGAGGGTGTGTCTTCCCGGTGCCTGTGCCACCTTCATATGCCTTCTCCTCACTGGTTTGTAGGGCTTGTGCACTCTGGACGAGAACTCCTCACCGCTGTCTGTATTATCAATACCTTCCCTCAGTCTCACATTCTCACTCTCTTAACAGTGCCTTTTGGTAAACAGTTTTAAATTTTAATATGGTGCAAGTGATCAACAGCTTCCTTTATGGTATCACCATTTCTGTTCTTTTAAAGAATCTTTGCCTGCCCCAAAGTCATAAAGATTTCATAAAGGTGTCCTTGTATATTTTGTTAAAGCTTTGCCGTTTTAGCTTTCAAATTGTATCTGCAACCCACCTGGTATTGATGGGAGGTCCTGCCACACTTTTTTTGTTTCCGTGTGGACACCTAGTTGGCCCAGTGCCATGTCAAGGCTTGGGTGGCACACGTGTGTAGGCTTATCTGTCTACAGGGGCAAAGCAGCACAGCCCCACATGGGGTTGGAGCCCCATAAGGTGAGGAGGTTTGGAGGGTTTGGGACAGGGGCTTTTTAACAATTGCCCTGGCTGCCCTGGGAGAGGCAGGGAGACCAGCTCTGAGACTGCGGGGAGGGAGCAGGGGGACTAGGGTGAGGCCATGTGAGGACTGAGCTCTACCCAGAGGCTTTCCTTTCCTCCTCTCCCACCCAATCCTGGAGGACCTCATCGTGGGGGGCAGTGGAGGGATGTCTGCTGTAGGATGAGGAAACCAGGCAGAGCTCTATAGCACATCAGGATATGTTCCACAGTGGATGTTAAGTCTTGGTGGAGACCTGGGCCAGGGGGAACAAGTGATGGATAGATGGGCAGTCAGACACACATTCCATGGAGCCGGGAGCATGGGCCCAAGCAGGGGGAAAGGTGCAGGGAGAGGGAAGTAGAGGGCAGCCTGCTGTACCCCCAGGGACCACATGAGGGCACCAGAGTTCCACCGGAAGCAGACAGAGCTCAGCCCTTCCGGCCCTTACCCAGGTCTGAGGGAATGGACACTTAGGGGATGCTGGGCTCCCTTTCCT